CCTCTGTCACCCTTTATAAAACTTTAGTTTCAAACCTTATGTTCTCAAATAATAAAGAATAAACCAAATTTTCCTTCTACATAGCAATGCTTTTTGATTTCAAATTGGTGATTATGACTCCCTTGAGTTGTCTAATGAACATTTGAAAGTTGAGTTGGGAATAAATGCAGAGGTTCTTTGACCAGTCAATTAATCAGTGAAATGTATGAGGCATGTATTAACAGTAAATTCCTCACATTATGTGCCTAAGGGCAGAAAGAATAATAACAGCCAACACTTGTATATTTTGTGCCAAGCACTGTTCTAAAGGCTTAATCCTCACAGCAACCCTTTGCTGCATGCACCGTTATGATCCTGTTATACAGATGAGAAAGATGAGGCTCAGAGGTGGTAAGTAGCAAGACCCAAGGTTACATGCTAAGGGAGTCACAGAGCTAGGATCCATACCCAGGCATTCTGGCTCCCTAGTCTATGTTCTTAGCCAATAAACTAATACTGCCTACCTAAAAAGAAGTAATAGATTTCTTCTTTGAGAATATTACAAATGAGATAATATTAACTATACATAATGCATGTAGCCATGTCCTAAGAGAGATAATGGTCTGGGCTAAAATGGATAAAGAAGATGAAATATGAAGGAGCCAAGCCTCAGAAATTATGCAGAATTTCAATAGGTGCAGAGGAAGGTGAAGGTTGTAGGATGTTTGTGGACATCTAGCATCCCTGCCTCCAGTAATTACCAGTAGTAATCATCAAGTTTTGTGACTACCAAAAGCTGCTTTACATGTTTACAAAAGCCCCTCCCTGAGGACAGCTGAGCTTCCGGTATAGTGGTTGGAACAGTGGTACTCATGTGCATCAGAATCACCTGGAGCTCTTGTTAAAATTTGGACTGCTGGGCCTCACTTCCAGATTTTCTGATTTAGTAGATCTAGGATGACATCCAAGAATTTATGTTTCTGACAAATTTCTAGGTGATGCTGGTGTTGTGGGACCTCAGCAAGGCCTGAGAGAAAGAAAGATGTGGGCTGACAGCAGTAGAAGAAAAAAAAAATGATTCTTAGAATCATTATCTAATATTAGCGTGATTATCTAATAGCAATAGCCAAGTTCAGTGATAATTTATTCTGAGCCAGAGCTGTATAAAACACTTGATATACATGATACTTTTAAATCCTTCAAACAGATTTTAAATGCTGTTATTATTTCCATTTTGCAGATGAGAAGAGTAAGGATTAAAAATACATTATGAACTTCTCCAGGTCATGTACATGTAAAACTAAACCCACATCCAGCCAACTTTGGGGTCCAGCCACTAATCAGTACTGCCGTTCAATAGCTCTCGGAGGTGTTTTGATGTGATGTGTTCAGAAGTCCATCATCTTTGAAAGTATCTAATCAGCCATGCAACAAGACAAAAGTAATAATTAGCATAAGTTATTCTGGTAGCACTGTGTGGAGCTTAAAGCCTGAAAGGCTAGCTATGGATTTATCATAACAATATAGGCATGATCAAAATTTCAGCAACATAGCTTTTCTCCCTATCCAATTTTCAAAGTGAATAACGTGTCAAATGCTGTGATCGGGGTAATTTCATTAAGACTGCATTCCATTTTGTGTGCATACTTGATATTTAAAAACATAGATTTTGGAATCTTCAGTCTGTTGCTTATAGTTCATTCATTGATTCAAAAAATTTACTAAAATCTACTAAAGGGCTGAGCATGGTGTCTCATGCCTGTAATCCCAGCACTTTGGAAGGCTGAGGTGGGTGGATCATGAGGTCACGAGCTTGAGATGAGCCTGGCCAACATGATGAAACCCTATCTCTACTAAAAATACAAATATTAGCTGGGTGTAGTGGCAGGCATCTGTAATCCCAGCTACTCAGGAGGCGGAAGCAGGAGAATTGTTTGAACCCAGGAGGCGGGGTTGTAATGCCTGAAATCGTGCCACCTCACTCCAGCCTAGGCCACAAGAGCGAAACTCTGTCTCAAAAAATAAAAAAATAATTTTAAAAACTTATAAAAATAACATTTTTTTGAGAAAACTTTGATTTACTTTCAGTTTGTTTTGAGGTGACAAACCAAGCTCAAGTTAAACTTCTCTTACTAGCTGCTTTTAAAACCTCACCTTTGTCTTCAGTGCCCTAAAATTTTATGATTGTATGTCTAAGTGCAGATTTATTGTTGTTTATACTGTTTGGGTCTAAGTGGGTGTCCTTCTGGAAAATTCTTCATTATTATCTCTTCAAATATTGTTTCTTCCTCATTCTCATTGTTACTTCCTTCTGGAATTCTGATTAGAGTATGTTGGACCTTCTCCTTCTGCCCTCTAATTTTATTAATCTTTCTTTTGTATTTCCAATATGTATCTTTCAGGAACATTCTGGGTAATTTCTTCGATCCTATCATCTTTTCATGAAGTCTCTCTTCACCTCTTTCTAATCTGCTATTTAATTTATTTAATGTTTAATTTCATCTACTTTGTTGTCACTTTAACTTTCAAGTTATTTCTCTTCAGATCCTTTTAACAGTCTTGTTTCTTGCTTATATTTTTAAACTTCTCTCTTCAAGCATATCAGACATTCTGAGTTTATGTTTAGCATCTGATAATTCCAGTACTTAGATTTTTTTTTTGTTTATCTGATTCTGCAATGTTATTTCTGCTGGTTCTTATTCATAGTTCTCTGTTTACCTGTGTATTTATAATTATTGGCTATTAGTTCATATCCCTTGGATTGTTATCTGCCAGAATTCTTTTAGCTTCTGTTGAAATTGAATGTTTTTCTGAGAAAATTTTAATTTACTTCTTATCACTTGGGGGTTAGGCACTAAAATCCAGGAACATTTTATGTTTTATATTAAAATTTCCATTGGAATATTTTTTTGACCACACAGAAAGTTTGAACTTGGGCCAAAAACCTGTGTGAAGTCAAGATTACAGTTCCAAATTCCTTAAAGAGATTTTTCTTTCTCTTCTACCCATTGCAAAAGTGAAAAGAGAAGTCTCCTTCCTGTCCACTTCTGAGAGGAAATTATATCTCCGGAGGCCTCAGCTTTACATGGGGCACTACCATTAGACTTTCTACTTTGCATGTTCTGTAAGTTTTGTCTACTTTCTTATGTGCCATATATAATCTTCCATATGTTCAAGTTTGCCAGGGTTCAGTGGATTCCCTCAGGGTCAAAGCTGTCTTCTGCACTTGCTTGTGTCTCATCTTCTAATAGCACTTTGTTTTGGCTTTGACATATCACATGCCTTTTTGCCAGATTAGTGATGTACCTAAAACATTCTAAATATATGAATACAGGCCAGGCTCACATGTGTAACCCCAGCACTTTGGGAGGCAAAAGTGGGCTGATGACGTGAGCCTGGGTGTTCAAGACCAGCCTGGGCAACATGACAAAACCCTGTCTCTAGTAAAAAAAAAAAAAAAAAAAAAAAAAAAAAAAAAAAAAAAAAAAAAAAATTGGTTGACACCCACCTGTAATCCCAGCTACTGGGAGGTTGAGGTGGGAGGATCGCTTGAACCCAGGAGGTGGACGCTTCAGTGAGCTGAGATCGCACTACTGCACCCCAGCCTGGGTAACAGTGAGACACTATCTAAAACACACACACACACACACACACACACACACACACACACACTCCCACACACTCCCACACACTCATACATAATGTTTTAGCTGTTTGCATCAGAAAGTTTGTTCAGAGCATCAAATTAGTCTAATATATTGCAGAGAATGCAAATCCAGAGTTAAACTGAAAATATGTTACAAATTATATTAAAAAGACAAAGAGAAAAGCTGAGATTTGTATTTAAAGTAACCATTAAATGGCAACTGACTTCCCTGAGGACAGGAACAACACGTTTTTTACTTGTTTCTTTAAAGCTTTATACTATGCCTAACACATAAGAGCCCATAAATAATATGTGAATAAAATAATGCAAGCATTTAGATAGCTTTGGAAGCTTCAAATGGATTGATCAGTAGAACTCATTATAAAATGTGTATGGATATATGCTTGACGGATTCCCAAAAATACCTGAATATTTATAGATATTTTAACATCTGTTATCCAAAACTATGAAATCTGAAATGCTCCAAACTCTGAGACTTTTTAAGGGCTGACATGTTGCTGCAAGTGGAAAATTCCATACCTGACTTCATGTGATAGGTCACAGGCAAAACACAGGTGTACAATACACAGTTTACACAGTTTCCTCAGCATCCCCAAAGGACAAAAGACCCTCTCAGCCCCCTTTAGGTGTGATATATTTTTCTATGCCCTCCCAGATTCCCCTACACCAGCACACTACTAAGAGTAATAAAATGGCACATTTGCAGGCTGGATGCACCAACAGTAGGTTCCCTAAGGTACCCCACATGGGTCTAAGACCTATGTTTGTTACGCACTGTGTTTTTTGCTTATTCTCTGTTCTGTAGTATAAGGATAATGTTTAAAATGTTGAAATAAGCCTGTAGATACCCCTATGGGTAACAGTGATAAGAAAACAAGGAAGCATTTATGCTTCCCTGTAGCGCAGAAAGTCTAGCTGTTGGAGAAAGCAGACAGTAATATAAATGTGAAACAGAAGAATGTAGTGTCGGAATGACCACCATACGTCACCTGAAGAAACAAAAAGATAAACTCTTGAGGGTTTATGCTGGAAGGGATTAGCAGAAGTTAATTAAAAGTAGAAAAACACTGCATAAAGCTAACAAATGAAGATATTAATTGTGTGTTAAAAGAGTGGCTCCCTCAGTGTCGCGATGAACATATGCCACTTGAGGGTATACTGATCATAAGACAAGCAAAGAATCTGTCACAACAAACTGGACATTGAAGGGAACTATAAATATTCAACAGGCTGGTTGCAGAAAGTTTTTAAAAGACACAGAATTAAATGTTTTAAGATATGTGGTGATAAAACATCTGCTGATTATGAAACAGTGAAGAAATTAATTGATGAGTTTACCAAGGTCATCACTAATGAAATTCTGAAGACAGAATAAGTCTATAATGCTAATGAAGCATCAATATTTTGGTGTTATTGCCCCAAAAAGATATTAATTACACTTGAAGAGACAATCGCTATAGGAATTAAGGATGCCAAGCACAGAACAACTGAGCTGAGATGTGCTAATGCAGCAGGCATGTATACATGTAAACTTATGGTGATAGGTAAAAGCTTACGTCCGCCGGGCGTGGTGGCTCAAGCCTGTAATCCCAGCACTTTGGGAGGCCGAGGCGGGTGGATCACGAGGTCAAGAGATCGAGACCATCCTGGTCAACATGGTGAAACCCCGTCTCTACTAAAAATACAAAAAATTAGCTGGGCATGGTGGTGCGTGCCTGTAATCCCAGCTACTCAGGAAGCTGAGGCAGGAGAATTGCCTGAACCCAGGAGGTGGAGGTTGTGGTGAGCCGAGATTGCGCCATTGCACTCCAGCCTGGGTAACATAAGTGAAACTCCGTCTCAAAAAAAAAAAAAAAAAAAGCTTACGTCCTTGCTGTTTTCAGGGTATGATTTTTTTTTTTACCAGTACATTATTATGCTAAAAGGCATAGATCACCAGGGGCATCTTTTCTAATTGGTTTCACAAACAATTTGTACCAGTGGGTTGTGCTCACTGCAGGGAAGCTGGACTGGGTAACTGCAAGAGTTTGTTATACTTTGACAATTGTCCTGCTCGTCCTCCAGCTGGAATTATCACAAAAAAATAATGTTTATGTCACGTACTTTCCCCCAAATGTGACTTCATTAATTTAGCCATGTGACTAGCATATCCTTAGATAATACAAAAACACTTTCTCGAATAGCATGCCAGCAACTGTGAACAGAGGTGTTGGTGTGGAAGGTTTTCAAAAGGAGTTTAACATGAAAGATGCTGTATTTTCTGTTGCCAGTGCTTGGAACACAGGGACTGAAGACACACTGTGCGTCCCTGGCACAACCCTGGCCTGCGACTATGCTCAGTGATCATGATGAACAAGAGTGTGGCTTTGGACGATTATATCTGTCGAGTGAGAAAAAATGTCTACCCTCCTTACATATCCAAAAAAATATACTTTTAGAGTCCATCAGTAAGCTGGAAGAAGTAGATATCAAAGAAATTATTAACATTAATAGTGATGCTCAATTGTTTACTCATTGACTGGTGGTGAAGTAATTGAAATGGTTCCGAATCAAGGTGATTCTGATAGTAGTGACGATGAAGACATTGTTGTTAATGCTGCAGAAAAAATGCCTGTAGATGACATGGTGAAAATGTGTGATGGGCTTGTTGAAAAACCAGAACAGTGTACATTTATAACAGAACAAAAAATCATGTCAGTTTATAAAATCAAAAGGAATACCTAAGTCAAAAAACATTAATGAGACAGATGACTCCAGAGGAAACATTTTAAAAAGTATCCAGGAATTACTTCTCATTCCTAGAGGACACATTTCCTGGTTGCTCAACTGCTTCTGATGTGTCTTTTCACCTACAAAAATAAAATCCAGTTTATGGTAACCTTTTAATCCACATATAGTAGGTGGCAGTTGAAAGCCTGGTGTTGTTTGTGGTTAGACAGCTAATACAGGTATTCTGGCGATGCTACCATGCGGCTTAGTTACCCTGAACATATTATTTTTTTCACTATATTAAAAATATGCCATTTTTTTTACTAAGTACTTAAGTGTGAATAGTGTAAAGAATGTTTGCTATTGGTAGCATGTAAATTCAGTCAGAATGACGGTGAAGCCATCACAGGTTGTCCACATGAGTGGATGAGATAGTGACACCTGTGCTGTCTGATGCTTCAATGCACACAAACTTTGTTTTATGCACAACATTATTTAAAATGTTATTCAAAGTTTCCTTCAGTTTAAGTGTATAAAGTATATGTAAAATATAAATAAATTTCATATTGAGTCTTGGGTCCTATCTCCAATATATCTCATTATATCTATGCAAATATTCCAAAATATAAAAAAACCCAAAATCTAAAACACTTCTGGTCCCAAGCATTTTTGAAAAGAAATACTCAACATATACCGATATGTATATTTTTTCTCATACATGTATATGTTGAGTATATATGTATATTTGAGTATAAATGTATATATTATGTATGTGTCTATATGTACAAATATCAATAAAATGGCCATTAACTAAGTAGTTCTAATATTATAACTTAGTCACAGTTATTTTTAAGCCCAGCACATTTCTGATAATCTATCAGGCAACTCCTATTAACAGACATGAGCTTCCTTTAGCATCCTTATTTAGAGCTAACCCATTTTTGATTCTGAATTCCAACCTTGTCCTTCTAGCCTAAAATGGTGAATCACTTACTTGCCTAAGTTTTATCCATGGAACTTCTCCTTGGGTCTACTTCTGTGAGCTGAGGAGAGGGCATGTGTTGAACGTAAAATCACTGAATGCAGGAGAACTGAGGACAGGGGGTCCCTACCAACGGCATTCCCCTTACAACTGAGGAGCTCTTCCAAACTTGGTAGAAAAGGGTGATGTGGAAACCACAAGAATATCAAAATTCTGCCAAGTTATGAGGTATATTGTTAATTCTGACTGCCTGGAAATCTAGTGGGTAGCTAATTATACTAAAAAGAAACAAACAAACAACAACAAAAAAACTTTGCTTTCAGATTAGGAACTGCTCTGTCTCTTTTAGAAGGCATTTAGAATAATGTTTAGAGTAGACACTGGAATTAAACAAAACTAATTTCCAATCCTGGCTTTGTCATTTAGTATATTTTTGTCTCTAAGCGAGCTACTAACCCTTTTAAGTCTCTATTTTATCATCTGGGAAATGTGAATAACACCAACTCAAAATATTGTATTAAAATTAATAAAATATAATACACATAAAACCATTAGCACAGCAACTCATGTGTGTAAATGCATAATAAATTAGCAATAGTAATTGCTTTTATGTTTGTCCTTCTCTATGAAGCATAGTGCAGTGTGCTTGTTTCACGTTAGGACCCTTAATAAATGACTGCAAATGAACTAATAAAGCCAGGCATCTTTACTTGTTTCAGTGACTGCACACATTTCCTCCCTGCCTTGGCCTTCACCACTGGAAGAAACAAGAACCAGGATGATTCTCTGTTCACTGAAAAGAAAACCATGTAGAGACCTATTCACTTCAACTGCTGATGGACTTGTTAAGTAGTTATGCAAAGAAGGCAGCAAGAGCTGCTTTCTTGCCCCATCAAGGGATAGAAAAAATTCCCAGCACCTATTCCAGCTTTGTCCTGGAACTAGCAGCTTCCATGCTGTCTGCTTTGCCTTGGCAAAGCTTGTGTACTTCCATTGAATCAATATGCTGACATGCATCTCTGCTGCCAATGCAGCCACCACCCACATACACTCTCTTAAGAAGCAGTATTTATTCTTGCTGATCTCCAAAAAGAGGTAAGAAATAAAGACCAATCTTCTGGAGGGCCTGCTTTGTGACCGCACTAAGGGTCTTTCCAACCATTTCATTTGTTTGCTTGAGAAACTCCCACCTTGTCTCTAACAATTCAGCTTGTTATCAGAACGAAATATGGAGTCCATAGAGAAAATCTCAGTAGACTGCCTGATTCAAGGATGTACAAAACAGGCACTCACTATGAAATAGCAAGCGGGGGACTATTTCTATGACTACATTAAAGAGGAAAAGAGGGTTCATAGTCAGAACACAAAACCATAAATGAAATTATAGTATTTCTTTCAAAACCCTCCGTCCCCTCCTCCCTCTTATTTTTTACTTGGTTTGTGACATTAAGCTAATGGATTAGACATTCTAGATTCCAAGGCTGTCCTCTGCCAATTGAAAGCAAGATATTTTTACAGAGGTATTTTTGTTTCCCTGCAATACCATGTACATTGCTTATTGTATTGAATGAATTTTTGCTTCACACAATTTTAGAAGCTTCTACAAAACCTTAATATCCAGGTAGTAGGTATATAGTGAGCTGCTTAATCAGAGGGGATCTTTAATAGTATTACACAGAGTACAACGTGGAATCTATGATTCTGACCAACAGGTAAAACTCTTGAACCCCAATAATGAACTGATGCAAAAATCCTCAATATCCATGTTGTGGCAAATGGTAGAATTTCTTTCTTTTGTTTTTTATTTTGTTTAAAGCTGAATAGTATTCTGGGGTGGGTGGGTGGGTGTGTGTGTGTGTGTGTGTGTGTGATATGTATGCGCCCATACACACTGTATTTTCTTTATCCATACACCCATTTAAAGGTCTTACATTTAAGTCTTTAATCCATTTGGAGTTGATTTTTGAATATGGTATGAGATTATGGACTAATTTCATTCTTTTCCTGATAGATATCCAGTTTTCCTAACACCATTTATTGAAGACACTGTCATTTCCCCATTGTGTGTCTCGACAGCTTTGTTAAAGAGCAATTGATTGTAAATGAATGGATTTATTCTGGGTTCTCTATTCTGTTCCATTGGTCTATATGTCTGTTTTTATTCCAGTACTATGCTGTTTTAATTACTATAGCTCTGTAGCATAATTTGAAATTAGGAAGTACATTGCCTCTACATTTTGTTCTTTTTGCTCAAGATTGCTTGGACTGATTGGAGACATTTGTGATTCCAGATGAATTTTAGTATTTTTTTTTCTTTCTCTTTTTTTTTTTTTTTGAGACAGAGTCTTGCTTTGTAGCCCAGGTGGATTGAAGTGGTGTGATCTCGGCTCATTGCAACCTCTGTCTTGTGGGTCTGGGTTCAAACAATGATCCTGCCTCAGCCTCCTGAGTATCTGGGATTACAGGTGCACACCACCATGCCCAGCTAATTTTTGTATTTTTATTAAAGATAGGGTTTCACCATGTTGGCCAGGCTGGTCTTGAACTCCTGACCTCGTGATCCACTTGCCTAAGCCTCCCAAAATGCTGGGATTACAGCCGTGAGTCACTGGGCCTTGTCAGGAATTTTTTTCTATGAAAAAATATTTCAGGATTTCATTTTCTATAAAAAAATGTTATTGGAATTTAAATACGTTGAATAGAAATGGCAAGAGAAGGCATCCCTTTTTTATTCCTGATCTTAGAAGAAAAGCTTTCAACTTTTCACGCTTTGAGTATGATTTTTAGCTTAGACTTATCATACATGGCCTTTATTGTGTTGAGGTACATTTCTTATATAC